TTCTCACCTCCTTGCAGGTGAACACCAAGATATTTAGGCAACAAACATAACCTGTTTTCACACTTGTAAGTTGGCTGACCTGTTGCCTGGCTTCTTCTTTTCCTATGAGCTTCACGATTGTAGTTATAGGTGCTAGCACCAGTAAAGAGAGAGAGAGAGAGAGAGAGAGAGAGAGAGAGAGAGAGAGAGTGTGTGTGTGTGTGTGTGTGTGTGTGTGTGTGTGTGTGTGTGTGTGTGTTGGAGGGATGGGCAGGAGACTGCCACAATTCTGCATATGATTCCAAAACAACATTTCTGGGATGTTGGAGGAGGACATGTCACCATCCTCTTGTTTTTCTGCCATCAACACTACTCTTAATCACAGCAACCGTGTTCCATTGAAAGGAGGAAAGGGGAAAATAAGTAGAAGAAAGTGCTGTTCTGGATCATAGAGGACATGCGGGTTGACTCCAACATCCATTGCATCTCCGTCCAAGTAGCAGCACTGTGGTTCTGGACTTGACCCCAGCTCCTGGGGAGGGCTCTTAGCCAACTAAGCCAACCATGATGCTATCATCCCCTTGTCAGTGATTGGTTCAGGAACCGAGGCATAAGCCAACCACTGCATGGCATCCCTCTGGTGATTATTATTGGTCTCAGGCTGGAGGAGAATCTTCCCTCCCCTCTCCTCCCCTCCCCTCCGCTCTCTTCTCTCTCCTCTCTCCTGCTATTGTCCCAGTTACAGCTGGCCTCTATCCCCTGACCATGAGGACAGCTCCTCTTAGGCAGAAGCCTATATTGTAGATGGTAGAGCAAAGGAAGGAAAGAAGCTGGGGTCATAGGATACTGATCAGTCAGTTGTGGAGCCCACCCCTCCTCTAGATTTCCTGATACGTGAGATAATAAATTTCTCTATGGTTCCCGTTACTTTCATGAAAAGACCTTAACTGACACGCTGACTTTTAGGACACAAGAATTTATTGTCTTCATAAGTGGAGGTGAAACCTCACCAAGCAACCCATATATTTGTTCAGTTGTCCATGGTGACCCGGGACGTGTATTTATGAGACTGCCGGTCAAAGTTAGAGTAGAGTGTATGCATAGAAAGGTCATCCTGTGATCTCCAGGTTCACTTCAAGGATAAATAAAACTGTGCTAACATGTTGATGGTGGATAATAGATTAACATGTTATTATTTATTAGGTCTTTGAAAATATGACATCTAAACATGGAATGCCTTTTATGGTGACTCTTCAGGGCAATGAGGTGGGACTTCTTGCATGGGCTCTGCATATCACAAAATGTGGGGCAGGAGTTAGCAAGCCTGTGGAGCAACTCTGGCCATTCACATTCATTCTCAATTGACTATGTTTTCACACTACAGTGGTAGAGTTGGGAGTTGCAACAGAACCTGTCTGGGCCACAAAGTTTATGATATTTATCATCTGGCTCTTTCAGAAAAAGTTGGCTAGTTTCTGGGATTCACCATGGTCTATGTGGCCTGTAAGTTATGGCAATCCAGGCAAACTCACAGCACAGCAAGACTAGGCTGTTATATTGGTAACTACACTTGTGGACAATGATCTGTTTTCAGGGCTTTCAGGCGGTATACATCAATCTTGTTGTAGCTGTTCTTGTTGTAGTTCATATATAAATATTGACATATTAATAGAGGGCAAGACATTTTCTATAAAACAAATCATATTTACATTTATTTCTGTTATAAAATCAGATATGTATTATTTCAGAAAATCATTCTCTACTAGATTGCGTTGAAAACGTTTGAGGATGTGGTTAAGGTGATGGCTACTTATATAATTCCTTACAGTGCTCTGAGTGCAGTTCTAACAGGACATCACCTTTATTACAGTCAGAGAGGATGCTTCAGGTTAAATTTCTCCCATCAGGAACACTAGTATTTAAGAGAAAGCTATCAAAGCCTTTCCCAAGAGCAGAGGTTCCAAAAGGGAGGGGAAGAGAGTGTTATTATACCAGGAACCTATGGAGCAGAGGAGGCTGCAGAGTAACAAAAGGGTATATGTATCAAAAACAAACTCTGCTAACTGCACAGTTTTGCAGTGGACCGGCCTCAGCCAAGCTTGACCTATTTCCATGCATCTCAGGTGAATTGAATGATGAAGCACTTAATATAGTGACAACTTCTATAAAGCAGTAATCATGTTTCTCTACTCTTTTCCTGCTACCCTGGAAGGAGGCAGAGAACTAATTCTCAAGCTGGTACAATAATGTGAGCTCGATAGTAGGGCTGCCTGCCAATGAGGTATGTGGTGGGAAGGGGAGGCCAAGGGAAGGGGTCTGGTCTAATCAGGGAAAACAAAAACAAGCCGGCATCTCCATGCCTTTTCAGTCTTTGCACCTTCAAACTGTGCTCCACTAGCCTGCAGCTTGATTATCTAAAATGCAAATCTGATATCATTCCCCTACTTAAAATCTTGCAGTGGTTTCATGGATAAAATCCCAACTCTCTGTGCTCTGTCTCCCACTCACCCACCCAGCCTAATCTCTCCAACCGTGTTGAGCCGACTGTACCCCATCACCCACTGCCAGCCTCCACCTACAGTACCTCGTCCCTCCTTCTTTACCTGGCTGAACGTCCTCACCCATCACAATTCAGGTCAAACACTACCTCCTCTGGAAACCTTCCTTGCCATTCTGCCTCCTGCCCACTGCCCTCTCTGTCACTATCAATTTGGGTTAGACAGATCTTTATCCTACTATAGGGCACTGTCTGTCTTCCTCATGGGAATTTAAACTCCTTTCTAGGCACAGACTGTGAATGACTGGTTCTTGTTTCCCTAGCGTGTCACACAATGTCTAGCACATAGTGTCCATTCTAGCCATGTCTATCCAATGCATGGAGCCTTTAGAATTTAGGATGGTGGTTAAATGACACATACTTTGCTGTGGTCATGGTGTTAGGATTTGAAACATCCCTTGGTGCTTCAGAAGTAGATGATCACAGTGGAACACTCATCCCTTTTCTCTTCTCAGGTACCCAAGGAACATTAAACATTTTTAAGCAGCTGTATTTATAGGGCATTCCTTTGAAAGTCTCAGCATTATACAGACCACCAACAAAACGCGTCTAGGGGCCTGCACTGGCTTGGAAATTAAAAAATACATTTTCTTAGCTGAATTCATCAAAGGGCAGAACCTGACACAAGTGTTTCTACCCCACAGCCCAGCCTTTAAGGTAAGAAAAGGAGATTCTAAGTCCATTGTGTCCAGCATGTCTTCTGAATGTGATCTGAGTGACCTTATTCCAGTGATGCTGTTTCTGGCAAGTACAGGAACATACTGTAGGAGTGTGACGTGCCTGAGGTACAACAGAATCTTTCTGTATTATGATGCATCAGGTGGTTTATGGATTAATAATAATAATATCTCTACCCTTTGAAACAAACTGGAACAAGTGCAAGAGAAGAATATCTGGGAGTGATGCTGAGACAGCAGGAGGATGCTTCTCAGCTTGGAGATATGAAGGCTGAAAGGTGGCTTCATCTCCAGGTTCAAGATTATAAATGATTTTTCATAAATTATATTGGATACAATTCGTACTTCATAAGGGGACAGAACAAGGGGTTTAAATCATTGTTCTGTTATATAATTTATTATAAACAAGACTGATGAAGTAGAGTCTTGTGTCTGCAGTTGACCATGTAATGGCAAAACCCTGGCTCTCTGATTACAAGGTTATAAATGAGGCATTTCTGCACACCTGGCAGCAAGATACCCTCATCAGAGACAAAGTGTCCCAGAGCCAGGAATCAGCCTCTTGAAGGCCTGGCTTGTTAACATAAATGTAAAGAGGCACAAAAACAGCATGTACTTATCACATACTCCTCGAACACATGGGTGAAATGTCACTTACATAATCTGACAGGTTGCAGTTGTGCTGTATGATATAAAAACTGGCTTTTTAAAACTGGTAGAAACCTCTAACTTTTTGAAAAAGTCTTTCCATTTTATATTGGAGACAATGCTCCCAGCATGAGTAATGCCCATCAGTTATCAGTAATTTAGCAGATGGTGCCAGTGTTGACATTTGTTCTGGCTTAATTGTGCCTGAGTGTGTGTTTTAAACAATGATGCAGCTGTCCCCATTCCTGGCAATTAGAATATAAAAATGGTGTTCACTGAATCTGGCATAGTGATCATTTATCCATGTGTTTACTCTTTTGTTTGCAAGGCCTTCTGAGTGTTTGCTGCAATTCTACAATCAGAATATAAATTCGGCTTAAAATGGAACCTAGCTCCATACTGATAGGAACAAAAGGGACTTCAGATCTCCATGTTTTGAGATCTTAGGCCTCCAGCTCCACTACAGATGCTTGTGAGGTGTTTGTGTGTGTGTTAAAGATACCTCTGATATGAAGATAGTCAGAATTAAAATGCCATTAGGATTAGAAGAGCAGTGTCAGCAGAAACCACTGGACTATTGCTGATCATGTGCAGAGGATCAAGTGACCAAAATCTATTCTACATAGAGTCTTGCTGCAAAGTTCTAGCCATTCCGAATGCCAGCATCAATCTCATTCACTGCTAATTCATGCAGGAGGCCTAACTGTAGCCTAGCTGTTGACTACCTCCTCAAGGGAGAGTGGATGCCTTTGGACCTGTTGTTGTCCTTCAACTATCTTGGCTCTTGGCTGGGTGGGCTTTTTGCTATTAGGTTAGCCAGTTAGTTTTAGTGTGGGGACAAATTCCTTGTTAGGTCATGGCAAATCCGCATAAAATACCTACTAAAAAATAATTTATCCTCTGGAAAAACTTTGGCAGTAATTGCTAAAGCTGAACATATGTACACTCTCTGACCTTGCAATTTTACTTCTAGAAGTAGATACCAGCAGATATGCATGCATGTTTTCACCCAAAAAACCATGCACCTGAAGGCTGATGGCAGCAACTACTCAGATGTCCATCAGCTGTAGAATGGATAAGTTGTGCCACAGTCATTTGATGGCATACTATATAGCAATAAGATTGAACAAACTATAACTGCACACAAAAGTATTAGTTTTATATTGAACTGAAACATTTTACCACAAACTTAACGGCTTAAAGCAACACACACTTACAAGCTCACAGTTGTATAGGTCTTAAATCTGGGCACAGCATAGCTGGGTTCTCTGCTGAGGGTCCCAACAGCTGAAATCAAGGTGTAGGTGGCTGGAGCTTAGAATCCTCCTTGAAGTATATTCAGGTTGTTAGCAGAAGGCAGTGTCTGCTTCGTGATTGGAGGACTGAGGTCCCCATTTCCTTGCTGGCTGTCAACCAGGAGCCAGTCACAGCTCCTAGAGGCTGTCTGCATCCTTTGCCTTGTGGACCCCTTCTGTCTTTGAAGGAGACAGCAAAGAATTTCCTTCGTATCAGCCACTCTCGTGATTCAAATCTCTTTCACCAGGAAGAGCCCAGTCCCTTGTAAGGGCTCCATATGGCCATGCCCACTGAGGACAATTTCCTGATATTACAGCCAACTGATTTAGGCCAACTACATCTGCAAATTCCCTTCACAGCAGTGTCTAGATCAATACCTAGGGGAATGTGTGTACAAGAAGGGGTGAGGAATCTTGGGGGTCATCTTGTAATTCTGCCCACCACATGCAACAACATGGATAAATCTCATAGTAACGTTAAGCAAAAGAAGGCAGACACAAAATAATACATAATGTATAGTTGTATTTATATAAAACACAAGAATAGGAAGCACTGATCTTTGGGGTTAGGAGTCAGAACAGTGGTTACTCTTGAGTACATAGTAACTGAAAAGGAACATGTGGGGATTCCTGGAGGCTGATAATTGATCTGTGTGCTGGTTACAGGGGTGTGTTCAGCTTGTGAAAACCCAGCGAGCTGAACGTTTATGATTTGTGTACTTTTCTGTAAATGCATTATATTGCAATTAAAAGGTTCTTAGGATAATTTGGATTCATTACTTGATAATAGATTTGTTTCGTTTTTCCAAGAAAACATGCACTCAAAGACAGGCATCAGAGCGAGCACCTGATGGGGTGGAGAATAAGTAGGAATACAAAGGAAACGACAGTGCCTTGCCTGGAGTGGAGATGATAGTACCCCTCAAACTCTACACTTGAGCACCAAGTAGTGAAAAATTAGTACTGTCAACTTGGAGCCTGTGTGTATGACCTACCTCATAATTTGGCCCAGTGCAAAGTGAAATGCAAACCCCCTTGTTCAAAAATTGGAAGACAGCAAGAGTGGAGCATTCAGTCAAAATCAATGGTTGTGGTGGGGACAAATGAACAAGTCCCACTCCCAAGAAGCCAGCCTGCCTGTGTGTGTGGGAGAAAGAGCCTCATCTCAGAATCCCAAGACTTGTTGCTAGGTGAGTTACTTTGGGCAACTATTGCTTTAGCCCCTTCAGCTGTAAAATTGGTTAGCCAGGGGCTAGGAGGTGAAAATTCATTAATACATGCAAGTGAAGCACGTTTTTATGTGCCAGAAAGCAAACAAACACAGGAATTATTATAATAATGGGGCCCTCTAAATGTTGGAGTTTTTCTTTAATTGGTTAAAAAGCCTACCTGTGACCTTGCAGAGAAATACAGAAACTCTTCATGGATAGCACAGGGGCCACTTCTGCCTTATGAACTAACAAAAATCCCGAATTCTTGGTGGTAGCCTTATCATGAGATTTTACTGTGCATTCCTTGATCTTACCAGTTCAAAGAAGAAACTACTAAATGCCAAGGTCTAGAGGGTATTGGAGTCTGGGCACTTCCCCCATCGAAGTTCTTGTGCTGAGGTTTGAGTTTCGGTCAGGTTCCCGGTTGAATCCCTGATCTGACTCTAGAACCTCCCGGAGTGCCTGCTGGAGCCGGGGAAGGGGCACCCTAGAATCTTCCAACCGGCCTCAGTGGCGAGCGCTGCGGGCACGCGACTCCCAGCGCTTGGAGCCTCTGCGGTGTCAGGATGCCAGGACTGTCGCCTGGCCGGGTTGGGGGGTGGGGACGGTATTTCAGGCTAAGAATTTCTGAAGAGGCACGACGTTCGCATTGCGTTTCCGTGATTATTCTCCCTGACTTGCATTCTGAAGCACGAATCTTTCCGGATGTAGTAACTGACTTCCTAAAGCTTTGGGGGGACTGTGGTCCCCAAAGGCTGCCGGCTGCCTGACCTAAGATTTACGAGTGGTTTCGAGGATGAGACAAGGTCCCAGTGTCTCGGTGACAACAGGGTCTTTGACGAACGGCCGCCGAGTTACGGCTGGGGAGGGGGAAGAGACCCGTGGCGGGGTCGGGCAGCCTGAATTTCTTCTGCAGGAGTTGGGCGCCTGGGCGCGGGCAGGCAGCCCCGCAGGCCATCAGCATGCAGGAGCGGCGAGCGCCGTCCTTGAAGGGCTGCCCGGCTGACCTTGCTCCGCTTTCTCCGGAGAAATCGCTAGAAGAGCGCGAGGACGCGGCCACGGCGGTGACTCAGTGCCCTGCGCGCCGCACGCAAATGCTCCCTTCTATCAAGTCCAGCTCCGCAGCGGCTGTTTCCTCTTCCTGCCCTCTTTTTCTATTTATTTATTTATTTATTTATTTTTGAGACGGAGTCTCGCTCTGTCGCCCAGGCTGGAGTGCAGTGGCGCGATCCCGGCTCACGGCAACCTCCGCCTCCCGGTTCAAGCGATTCTTCTGCCTCAGCCTCCGCAGTAGCTGGGACTACAGGCGCGTGCCACCACGCCCGGCTAATTTTGTTTTTTGTATTTTTAGTAGAGACGGGGTTTCGCCATTTGGCCAGGCTGGTCTCGAACTCCTGACCTTGTGATCCGCCCGCCTCGGCCTTCCAAAGTGCTAGGATTACAGGAGTGAGCCACCGCGCCCAGTCCCTGGCCTCTTTTTAATTCCAAGATTCAAACCCGGCGTTTTCCGCTCCGCCCCTCCCCCTCCCCACGGCCCGCCTATCATTAGCCAGACTGCACGGGTGTTTTGTACCCTCCCTCCCCCGTCCCTATCGGCAGAACCGAAGGCCCACCTTCGCGATCCCTCGCTGCGGGCCGGGGGATCAGATGTGGCCCGCCCCCGGCAGGGCACCGCGCGCTGGGCAACCGCGATCCGGCGCCGGACTGGAGGGGGCGGTGCGCGGTGCGCTAGGGCTCACAGGGTACGGAGCCCGGGCCCCGCTCCCCATTGGCCGCCACCTCGGCGGGAGGGGCCTCCTCCGGCTCGTGGCACCTGGCGTCGCCCCTCCGCGGGGAAATCGGCGGCTGCCGGGCATGGGCGCCTGGAGGTAAAGGTACCCGGGGGTGGGGAAGGCCCCGGGCCGCGGCAAAGCTCCCTGCCACTGGCCCTGTCCTGCTTGCCGCCCCAGCGCCTGCGAAGCTTGGATGCCCCCAGGTCCGGCCGGGCCGGCCAGAAACTTTGCCCCGCGAAGTCCCCCGCCTGCCTGACCTCACCGTGAGGCGCCACGTCGGCCGCGCGCCCTCCGGGGCCCCGGAACCCCGCGAGTCATTGCCTGGCCGCCCCGTACCCCGCGCCCGCGGCGCCCGGTCGCCAGGATGCGCTACGCGGACCCCTCGGCCAACCGGGATTTGCTGGGGAACCGAACTTTGCTCTTCATCTTCATCTGCGCCTTCGCCTTGGTGACCTTGCTGCAACAGATCCTGTATGGCAGGAACTACATTAAGAGGTAAGAAAGTCCAAGAGAGGGCGGGATGCACGGAGCCAGGCGGCAAGCCCCCGGGTGCCAGTGGCAGCGGCAGCTTCCGTCACAGCGCCCCGGGGTGAGTGACCGTGGGGTCCGCTCCTAGCCCCAAGCATGGCCGCTTAAGCTTGGGTCACCGCGTTTCCAAGAGCATCCTTGCTCCCAGCTCCCTGCCCAGCGCTAGCTGGAGGGCCCAGACAACTTTGTTCCACTATGAAAAATGAAGGACAGGATAGAATTCCAGGCAACCAGGCTGACGATAAATCCATTTAATACCGGAGAGACCGCATGGATCAGAGCGGGTGTCCTCCAAACCCACAGTTCTATGGCCATTTGTTTGGACTCTGGGGTCGGAGGGCTCAAAATTGTATAGATTATTTATTTATTTATTTATTTATTTATTTATTACCTCGCGAGTCCTGAACTTTCGTAAGGACCCTTGGGAAAAAAAAGCATTTTCCCCTCCAGGAGCTTCGGGTTAGGTGGGGGTGGTAGTGGGCTGTGGCGATGCGACAGGGATAGTGATAATGAAGTCTTATAATCCCATAGCCACTGGATCTGTGAAACTCAACAACGTGATTCCTTCTGAAACAGATGGCTTTTTTTTTCTCATCCTCAGCGCAAAAGGTCAGAGCTGCAGTAGAAGTTAACCCCTCGTTGGGCTCTCCCCCTACTCCACCCCAATCCACAGTTAAACTCCAAGAGAAAGAGCAGCAGGAGGTGTTACTCAGAAATTCAATTCGGGCACAGCCTCAGTCTCTCTGTTTGCAGAAGATACACTGAAATGCCAGCCACTTCCTTCTGCCGGCTCTTCTGGCTTAAGGGAAACACTTGGGGTTTCTCTGCCTGGTTTGGGGGATTAGGGGAGGTTCCTGCTCTAGGATACACCCATATCAGAGCCTCTCTTGGAAAGAGCCCTCTCTCCCAGCTGCTGGGGTGTTTTTTTCTTTGCTGCTAGTGCCTCCCTACTCACACCGCCCATCCCCCAGGTTGATAGGAAAATAAATGTCTCTCTAGCTAAGTAAGCATCCCACCTTCTTCTCTAAACTTCCCCATAACAAAACAGCCCTCTTCTCATCCTTTGGGTTCTACATCAGGTATGGGTGCTCCCAATCTGGGATGCCCACGAGGATGGGAAGGTGAGGATCGCTGCTGGGTGTGGCTCTACAGTGGAAAAGCTGAGCACTTAGGCTGTTTCCCCTCCTTGTAACTCCCCCAGAGCTGGGGAGTAATGAGGCACCTTGTTCTGAACATTTGTTTACAGCCAGTGGCTGACTCCGAACCTTCCCAGGGAGCGTTCCCTGGTTGGTGGCAGCTCCTGAGTGCTGTCTGGCACTGGTGGCTTTAAAGGCCATCTTCGGAGCCTCCTGGCTTCTTGGATCTGATTGGGCCTGCCTCTTCTTTCGGTTACTGCTGCCCCTGAGATGATCCTATGCAAGGACAACTGGGTCCCCCACGGCTTGCTGCAGCCCTGCAGGCCGATTGGCTGGGGCCATCTTGGCCCTTGCTCTTCAGCAGGGCAGCTCTGGATTCCTGCCCTCTGCCGGCACCTCCCCAAAGTTGCTGGGGCTGCTGGGATTCCTTCTGCCCTGTCAACGGGGGGAAAGTACAACCGCCTATGGCAATGCCAACCAAACTACTACCTGCTTGCTCTGGCAAGTCCTCCCTGGTCTTGGGTGGGTGGGCTAGCTGCCAAGAGTTCAGCAGGCACACAAGGTGCTTCCCTTCCCCCCTCACAGAGACCCTGACCCCCTAAATTGCATAGATGCTATCTTGCAGGCCTCATTCTAGAGACTCAACCCAATCAACCAAGCAAAACCTGTATAGGCCTGATCCTGGAAGCGTGCCTCTAGATAAGGGTCTGTAAAGAAGGAGATGATGTGGTCTTGGTGCTCAGAGGACTCGAAGTCTATTTGGGGCAACAAAATAGCCACAAATGAAATAGAAAGTGAATGTTAAACTGTCTGAGAAGAGAGGCACTGATAGGCTGGAGAAGTTAGGCAAGACTGTGCCCAGAGGAAGTTGAACTTGAGTGGGCCTTGAAGGAAGGGTAAGATTTGAGGGTGGGGGCAGGGGGCATGCACATCCAAAAAGTGGGCAGGAACAAAGATGCAGAGATGCATGTGTGTCACAATTTCCTCCCGTCTCTCCCACACCTGGCCCTACCTACACTGCAGCACTTGACTTAATCATTGATTAGTCCTGATCTTGAATTGGGTGTGGCTGCCACATCAGTGTCACCCCTAGCACCTGCTCACCTATCTTGTTTCCTCCATATATAATGATTGTAATGAACTGCCCTGATGTGATTATCAGCAGCCTGTCTCCTGTCTACAAACACTTAACCAGTGTTCTTCAAGCAGAGGATCTCGGAGGGCCTGAATCAGAACCAACTGGAGGCCCACTGAAATGCAGACTCCTGAGGCCCTGAATCTGACTGTCTGGGGGAGGGATCTACTAACCTGCCTTTGTAGCAAGCTCCCCAGGCAATCTGCAAGCTGCAACAAGCTCCTCCTGCTGCTCTAGACCAGTGGTTCTCAATTCCCTATTCTCCACAGCAATGTTTGGAGACTTCTGTGGTGTTCACACTGGGGAGAGGAGAGTGCTGCTGCATGCACTGGGATGAGACCAAAGATGTTGTAGAGATCCTATAATGCATAGTTTGCCCCCCACAACAAAGAATTTTCCAGCCCCAAACCTCAGTAGTAGCTGAGGTTGAGAAACTCTGCTCCAGACCGAAAGCTCCATGAGGTGGGGATTTGCTCTTTTTCTTTTGTTTTTGTTTTTGAGACGGAGTTTCTCTGTGTCACCCAGGCTGGATTGCAGTGATTTCCGCTTACTGCAAGCTGCGCCTCCCTGGTTCACGCCATTCTCCTGCCTCAGTCTTGCCAGTAGCTGGGACTACAGGCGCCCGCCACCACGCCCGGCTAATTTATTTGTATTTTTTTAGTAGAGACAGGGTTTCATCTTGTTAGCCATGATGGTCTGGATTTCCTGACCTCGTGATCCACCTGCCTCGGCCTCCCAAAATGCTGGGATTACAGGCGTGAGCCACTGCGCCCAGCCAATTTGCTCTGTTTTGTTCCCAGCTGCACTGTGAACACCAAATGTGTCCAGCACGTAAGAAGTTCTCAATAAATATTGGATAATGAATAAATAATTGAAGGTAGGACTATGTGTGTGTACACAGGGATTGTAACTGGAAGAGACACAATGAAGAAATGGATACAACTGATGTGAGGGAAGGAAGGGATGAAGGGGGCAGATGTAACAGTGGGTCACTAGCCTCAGCAAAGTGTTTTGAAGATTGAGAAGAACAATTTGCATTTGGTTCATTGGGCCATTGGGAGCAGTGTTTGGCCCTCGAGTAGGGTAATGGCAGGATAAAAGTCCCTAGGAAGGACATTAGCTGGGCCTTCTACAGGAAAAGAGGTGGAAAGGCTGGGAGGTGGAGGTACTGTCATAGCCCAGTGAAAGGGAGAAGAACTTGTTACAGGGAGCAGGTCCACTTCAGAGGCAGGGGATTCCTGAAGGCTGCCATTGTTTGCTTCTGTGCTGAGCTGGTGCAATACCACCTCACAAAGAGTTCAGGGATACAGCAATGGCAGGCTCTTCCAGGGAGAATTCAGTGACAGCCCACAGCAAATGGCAGCGGGGCTGTGAGTCGATGTGTGCTTACTTCTTTGGACCCTGGGTGCTCCCTGTGCTCTGCAACGGGAGCTTTTGGGAGGACCCTACTGAGAGCAGTCAGAACTCTGGGGGTCCATTTGCAGCACCTACCTTGGTCAGGAAGGGAGAAGGCGGGGCAGTGCAGGGGGCTTAGTGGGCTCAGTGTCTCTAATGGAGAAAACATGCACTATGTGAATGAGGAGAAAAAGACAAGAAACAAAGTTGAGAACATTCCCCTTGATGCTCTTGGGTTCTCCATGTCTGTTTTTGATTGATTGAACAAATACTTCATGCAGATTTACTCTTAAGTGCTGAGGATACAATGGTGTGCAAGTCAGGCACAGTCCTGGGTCTCCAAGGAGCCCATGGCATTGGGAAGACAGAAAGGCATGCAACTGATACATGAGCCATGCCTAGAGGAATGGACGAGGGACTCTAAAAACAAGGAAGAGGGAGCCAGAGCAAATCACTGTGTTTCAAGGTACATGGAGGCATTTGAAGGGGTCTTCAAGAAAGGGGAGTGATCCACAGGCACAGGCAGAGGTGAAAGGAAGGGGAATGAAATCGAGTTTGAGCAAGGATTGACAAGTGCTGGCAAGAGTTGAGTGAATCTGCATGACTCAGGGGTTAGAGCTATATTGCTGGGGGCAGAGTGAGGCAGGCAAGGGCCCAATTCCTGAGAAGAAAGTAGGGACCCTCTGAGGAGGGCGTGTCTCGGGGAGGGAGCGGGGAGGGTGACAGCTGTGGGTCTGGATCCTCGTGCGTGCGTGGAGCTACCCAGAACTGCGCAGGGAAGAGCCAGACTCGTAATGTAGATTTGGAGTCACCAACCACTGACATCAGTGTTTTTCAAACTTTTATGATTGGAAAGCACAGTATGGTATATGTTACAGCCGGGGACCTTGAACACAGCTATGTACACATTCAACTGAAACATTTTGCGAAACAATACTTGGCCTTATTACGAGAAATGCACTCTAATGTTTTCTATTTTACTTCATTTAAAAAATCCATTCGCCATGTGCGGTGGCTCACGCCTGTAATCCCAGCACTTTGAGAGGACTAGGTGGGCGGATCACGAGGTCAGGAGTTTGAGGCCAGCCTGACCAACATGGTGAAACCCTGTCTCTACTAAAAATATAAAAATTAGCTGGGTGTGGTGGCATGCACCTGTAATCCCAGCTACTCAGGAGGTGAGGCACAAGAATCACTTGAAACTGGGAGGTGGAGGTTGCATTGAGCCGAGATGGCACCATTGCACTCTAGCCTGGGCGACAGAGAGAGACTCTGTCTCAAAAACATAAATAAAATAAAAT